GCGAGGGTTAAAGGGACTATCCCACCTTTAACATGGGGTTTGAGTTGAGATAGCCAAGTTTGCGGCGAGGTTCAGAAACCACTATCTATCTAGGTTGCAACCCCCGCGGCCTCTTGGTGTTGAAGAAATGCGTTCCCTTCATTTGAAAATGGGCCTTGTACAAGGCCTTATCTTCAACATGGAGCGACCGTTAGTGTGACGTCACCTCGTTTAGTCATTCTGATTTAAATGGGGTTGTTCGTTGAAAAATCGCTTAAAACTTGGTCTGAACTTTGTTGTGGTGCCTACAGAGTAAAAAGAATCAGCTTTATGACAGTAATGTGGCCTGGGGAAGGAGGTAATTTTGGGCTGTGACGTCACATATTTGAAAGTTTGTGTTTGGAATATGGGAAGCCTAAGATGTTTAATGAAAAATAAATGCCAGAACCGTGTTCCTGGTCATCCAATCTATAAAGTCGGGCACAATTTAACTGGTTTTAACAACATTTTAGAAGGTGGGATAGTCCCCTTAACCCTCGCCCGCACATGCCATTTTCCCATCCTAGAACGCACATGGGGGGGGGGGGGTGGTTGCCACCCCCCCGCGCCATTTCGTTCCTGTTGGAGATAGAGCTTAGCGGTAAAGACCAAAAAGATTCTTTGGGAAGAGACGAATTCAATGATACCCAGTTTTACCTTCTCAGGTCAGTCGTTGACCTTCCAGGTCAGGTCAAACTAAAAAATGTTGCTGTTTTGGGTCACCGTTGGATATCAAGTGCGCTGCTTATCATATACCGATAACGATGCCGTTTTCTGGTGCCAAGCCAGCTAGAACCTCTTTCTCACACTACCCGACCAGGTTTTTGCTGCTGAGGTCATTTCAGGTCAAGTTAGGTCAAGGTCAATTATATGTGTTTGTATGTCTGTGTGTGTCTGTGTGTATACTGATGTGTGCACCGATTGTTTATGTGTCCATATTACATGAAATCATGATCTGAGACGCTTTTACCAAAAATGCAGTCAAAAAACTTCACAAAAAGTAAATTCCGCTTGCCTAAAACGCAATTATCTTAGATGACCTAGGTTGACCTTGACCTTGACCTTGACATCTGTGCATCGTCGAACAACATGTTCCATGATGGGTGGGAGGTAAGACTGGTAAAAAAGGCCGAAATCAAGGTGTCAAAAGCTCACAAGGCCCATAGCCAACGCAAGATGTCGAGAATTGGCCATTTGGGTCATGACATGACCTGAAAAACAAGGTCATATCTCCGAAACCAAAGGTCACAGAAACTTGAAATTTTCAGTGGACATCAAGAAAGGATAGAGGAGCAGCTATACGAAAAATCAGCCTTCTAGCTTTAAAAATGTTGAGTGCAGAGCAGAAAGACTACCTGGGGGGTGGCAACCACCCCCCCATGTGCGGGCGAGGGTTAACCCGCGCCCAGATGGGGGGCTATTTTTCCCCCAGACTTTTCGATATATCTCCAGAACCGCGGCGCCGATCGTCACCAAACTTTCAGTACCCTCCCGGGCATCAAGTTTACACATTGTGACCAAACATTTTTTCACAGACTATGATAGGTTGGCCGCAGTTGGCGTCAGAGTGATACCATAATCTGCCGTTTTCGACCCAAAAAAGGTTTCGCGGGAAGAGCTGTCAGGCCTATAGCTTTGAAGATTCAGAAAAACGCTTAACCTTCCAGGCGGTGGCGGGGGGGGGGGGGGCATTTTTTGCCCCCCCCCCCCTCCCTTCAGTTTTTTCGATATATCTCCAGAACCGCTGCGCCGATTGTCACCAAACTTTCAGTACCCTCCCGTGAATAGCTATTGCACATTGTGACCAAAATTTTCTCCAAAGGCTATGATAGGTTGGCCGCTAATGACGTCGGAGTGACGTCGTTTCTGCCATTTTTGACCCAAAAAAGGATTCGCGGGAAGAGCTGTCAGGCCTACAGCTTTAGAGATACAGAAAAATGTTTCAGACATAAAAGGTGTAGAATTAACAGGACTAAAAAACTAGGTATTATCTCATATTTTTGAATTTTAGTTGATTTTGACCCCCAAAAATTAAAAAATAGATTTTTTGAATTTAATAGCCTAAAAAATCTAAAAAGTTTTTTGAAATTCGAAGAAACCGGAATGTACGTGATAGTCTTAACCGCGTTCTATCCACATACCAAATTTTAGATCGATACCTCCTTTTTTGGCCAAGTTATAGCGAAAAAAACGGTTCCAAATTGATGACGTCAATTTTTAACTCAATTTTATCAATTTTAGACCACGTTACGCAAAACAAAGACCACCATTGAACTCCTCGTGACGAGCTGCATCGAATCGATACACATTTTATGCAAAAATATCAACTTTGAAATTTGACCTAATTTGACCTGATCTTGACCTGACAATGACCTGATCTTCACCAAAACATAATCTCAATTGACCACAAGGGCTGCCTGTCCCACATAATCGCATTTGGCATATAAAATGGACCATAAAACATGCATCACATGATATTTTTAATTGGTGACCCTCAGTGACCTGACCTCTATGACCTGACCTGGTATCAGTGACCTCAAATAGCAAAATATGTGTTTGATGAACATTTCCCCATCGTTGATTTTCAATTACTCGATTTTACAACGCATTTCTTGAAATGCCTGTAAACGGTGAAAATTCGACCTTTCACCTGACCTGTGATGTCATCGGTTAGACCAAGGTCAATGAAATTGGGTCACAAACTCACAAGGTAGTTCCTCGTTGGGGCTATTCAACGCCGTTTGCCGCTTGTCGCTATGTTGCGTGGTTCTCGAGATCTTAGGGGGGTCAAAATGCCCCCCCCCCCATCAGACCGCGTTGCTCGGCAGACCCCATCAGGGTGCGGGTTAAGACATTATACACTATACAGTCTGGGATCGGTGCAAAAGCTTTTCAGCTTATTTCGTGGCACCTCTCCCTCACACACACTGGCTCATTCACACGTCAGTCACATCAAGATCTGGTGAACAAGAGCAATACAATGAAAAACAAGAAAAATACAATGAAAGTAAATACACTTACAAGGTACAAAGTATCAACTATCAACAACTATTGGTATCAACTAAGTTACGTATAAAACATAAGTAACTAAAGTAATGCTGCCGCCTCTGAGGTAAATCACTGGCGGTGTCCGCAAGAAAGGGCCGCTGGCACCGCCGCCGCCAGCCGCCGCCGAATTCCTGATGGTGAGGGATCTTTCAATGTAGCTCTGGAAGCACTCGGCGACGCGCCGACCGTCCTCTGTGCTGGTGGATTTACCGTGGAGGAGTATGTCGAGTTTTTGTTCTGATGGAAGGTTAGACCTGACCTCCACCACCTTGACCTGACCTCCACCAGGAAGTGACATAATCCGTTCGACTGATGGTCTTACAACCAACGTCATTGAATTTTTAACCCGCGCACCGACGGGGGTCTGCGCCAACTTCGCACCGACGGGGGGGCGGATGACCGCCCCCCCCCCTGAGATCTCGAGAACGATGCAAGATAGCGACAAGCGGTAAACGGCATCGGATACGCACGGCCAAGATCTACAATTTTTACTAAGGTCATTTTCAGGTCAGGTCAAAGATGACGTCACAGGGGTCGAAAAAGTCAAAATGGCGGCGCTAGATATGGAGAGAGTTTTTCTCGAATAACTTTCGAATTAGTCAAGATAGGAACAAACTAAGGGCATCATCGTGATCCTCTCGTCAATCCGCATCGAATGATATATATGTTGACCTCGAAAGGTCAAGGTCAAAGGTTGACCTCAGGTCACGTGACCTCGAGGTCATCATGTATATCATTCGATGCGTCTTGACGAGCTGAACACAATGAGACCATCCACGCGTCTGTATCTTGTTCCTGTACGGAGTTATTGGCAAAAAACCGCTGGTGACCTTTGATGACGTCACATGACCTCACAGCTGCCCAACAGCAAAACAGACCTCAAGGTAGTGAAGGTTGATCGTATATGAAGTCATGTAAAGTATATGGGGCCATTCCGACCCGTTTTAGTGGTAAAAACAGGGAGTTTATTTTTCCCCCATTGACTTATAATGGGGAGGTCGCGAAATTGACCTGACCTTAGGTCACCGATATCAAAGTTCCGAGATATACAAATTGTAGCTACTAATGACCTAATAATATCCTGCGACTTTCAAAGGCCTCCGACATCTACTGTAGCTGTGGCACGGTGACAAAGTTGCAAAAAAGTGACTTGAGGTTGGGTCATTCAAAGTGACCTGGTGACCTGACCTTAAAAGGTAGGAAGTTCAAACTTGCACACCATGTGTAAAATTGATGAGGTTATAGTCATACCAAATTTCGCGCCCCCCGTCGGTGCGCGGGTTAAATGAAAAATTGGCCATAAAACATGCATCACACAGCCCTAGTAAAATTGGGTTCATGTGCTGACCTGCTGACCCTTAGTGACCTGACCCGTGACCTGACTTGGTGGTATTATAAGCGACCTGTAATAGCAACATAGGTACTAGGCAGCTTACGCCCTATCGCTAATTTTCGACAAAATGCGTTTTACTCGATGTTATAGCGCATTCCCTAGAAGACCCGTGACCGGCAAAACATTTTATCTTTGACCTGACCAGTGACGTCATCAGTGACACAGAGGTCAATGAAATTGAATTTTCCGTGCCAAATTTGACAAGGCTTTCAAATGCCGTTCGAATTTTGCGGATCTGTCCAGTATTTTCGGACATACGAGGGGGGGGGACAATAAATAGCCTCGCCCCCCCCCCCCCCCACCACCACCACCACCTCCACCAGGTTGCGTTATAAACACTCCACCAGGGCTCGAGTTATGCACAATAAGTAAGAATGGGCACAGGCACCATATAACTACTCAGCAGTGCCGAATCGGCTATGTCAACCGTCAGTGTCGCCTATATCCGTGTTTGACACCATAGTATCAGCGGCCTCCCGACCCGGCGGCAGTTCCGTCCGACCGCAGTCAGCTGACACAGCTCTCTCTCTCTCTCCGACAGGACCGGGGGTGACGGGGGAGCCGCTGACACTGGGGGCGGGAAGACAACCCGACCATGGGCTGACGGTCGTCATAAAGCAGGCGGGAGATGACGTCATCAACCAGCTGGCCAAGGAGCTGGGACCACGGGTTACCGGGCTGAATATGTTCAGTGAGTGGTGGTGGCACGGACAGGTTATCGGTATGAGTGGTTAGGTATAGTGATGACACCGAGTAGTTGTGCATGGTAACACCGTCCCAGCACAGGTGAACCGGAGACATGTGCATGGGACAGGTCATGGGGGGTACGTCATAGTGGTGTGATGACAGTGGTGTATATGACAATATCAGGAGTGGTTATTTGAATATGCCGTTTCACTTACAGTCTTTCTCTTGTATTGGCTGTGTCGATTACATATTGTGCTATATTTCTGAAGTCATCCATGGTGAGCAGCAGTGGCCAAACAGGGCATTGATAGATATGAATGGTTAGATATAATGATGAACATACAGAGTAACGATGCATTGTTACACCGTACTAGTAGAGGAGAACCACAGACTATGTACAGTATTGGCAATGACGTCACCAATGTGTATATGTTTGTATGTGTGTATGTGTAGTATGTTGAGACGGGTGAATTCCACCGACGACGGGTATGTCGACGCCCGACGGGTATGATGCCACTCATGCTGAGTACATGCGGAGTGGTGTGATGCCATTTATGGGGACACATGTACAAGTGATAAACATCACAATAACTCGCCAGGTATGTAAAGCTGGCATTTCACTCACAATGCTATTGACTAGGCCGATGATGTATTGCGCCATATGCGCAACACGCTAATATGCATAATGTCGGTCATTTCCCACACCATTCACCTACCATGTCTGTATGTGTCTGTGTTTCCCAGACTGCCCGCGTGTCACTGCCGGGGCCTTACAGAGGCTGCTGTCCGCCCTCACCGGCCTGGAGGACGTCACACTTGACGGCACTCTGTCCGGCGCCATCACTGACGCCTCACTGGCCGCCCTCCACGGCTGCTCCCAGCTGAATACAATACAGCTGGGAACGCCCAGTGTACTCTGTACGGATGTACCGGTCACAGCGGTCAGCAGGTCAGTCAGCTGTACATCCAGACCAGACCCAGACCAGACCCAGACCAGACCCAGAACAGACCCAGACCCAGACCCAGACCAGACCCAGACCCAGACCCAGACCAGACCCAGACCCAGACCCAGACCAGGTCAGACCCAGATCAGACCAATTGAGCTGTAATCGCCACGCACTTTGAGAATGTGGATCGCTCATGATTGCTCAATGCAGTACAATACAATACAATACAATACAATACAATACAATACAATGCAAACAAGCATGTATGGTCTATTTGTATGTTAGGGCTGTGTATTGTGGCTATAATCAAAACATGTTTTGTATAAATGTTTATAGCCAAGCATTTTGTTGTATCATAGGAATCGGTATACATATTACATTGATCTAATGGGTGTATGGATTACGTGCACAATGCATATGGCTATAGCCATACATAGGTATTATGCACGTAAACTAACACCAGCTAGCACGCTATCTACCGCATCGACCCTAGTCTTCAGACCGGACCCGAACGCCGAACCCCAGCCGGACCGGACCTGACATGAACTGGCCCTGTGGAGACCGGACATGTCCCCTCCAGACGGCCGGTCGGTCGGCTGGTGTTGCTGACTGGCCTGTGTCCTGTTCTGTCACAGACTGGTGGTTGCCTGTCGGAGACTGAAGAAGCTGCTCTTTTACGCAACAGGGGAGGAGCTCAGTCAGACGGTCCTGGACGCCCTGGTCCGGGCAGACCTGGGGAAAAGCGATGACGGCACACCGAGGACACTGGAGTTCCAGGTCCTAAGTAAGTGACGGCGCCGCCCAGCGCCTCTGATCAGTCCCACAACAGACGGCTCGGAGCCATCGGCCTCTCGGAGTCGCTGTCGTACACTCTCTCAACGGGTGGAGATGAACACATAACGCTGATATGACGCCACAACTGATAAAACTGATAGTGATGCCATTCATATGTATATGAGTATAACCTCATCTGTGGCGTGAATGGTTGTTCGAGCATGGACAATTCCAAGCACTTTATTGATAGGATGGGTTAGCTAGTATAGTAAGATGACGTCACTCGTATTTAGGTAGTTAATTGGTATGGCTTGAGCTCTGACACGGTGTGTGGTATGAATTGATGTTATTGGCATGTTCACCTTACTGTGGTCTTCACTGTTTATTTGTGCAACTCTGTGTATAAGGTATGTGTGTATAGCGTGCAAGTGTGTGATGGCAACTGCTAGTCATGTGAATTCCGGTTACGGTCGTACTTCTGCATTTATATACTCGTAGTTACTGCATGGAACATCGGGCACGCAACCGGTCTTGTGCTGTTTGTGCCATTTGAGGCGTCACATCAGAAGTCCGAACTTATGATGTGTAATGTCTTGTTTTGTTTTTGTTGGAATAGGCTCTTTCGGTCAAACGAGACATTTCAGAGCCGGACAGATTATAGGAATTAGGTATGGGGAGGCATTGGTCTGGGCAGGCACCCTGGTGACCCGCCGGGGCTGAGCCCATCACATGGACAGACCACCCAGCCCCATAACAGCCACCGCACCCGGCTACGAGCTGCTCCTAGGGGAGCTACCCGCACGAGATAAAGGCCTTGGGGATAAAGTTTATCCAGCCCGGAACAGGTGGCGGAGGAGGGAGGATAAGGATTTGACTACCTTGAGGATGGTTACGACGGAATGAAGTGTAGGCCTATATGTAACGTCACATTAAAAACAAGGCGTATGAGTTGTTATGCCGTGTAACCTTTCTTTTCGTTGTCTTATCCACAGCAGCCGTTTATGACAAACTGAGCAAACCGTCTAATACCGGCAACATCAAGGTTGTGAGGGACCCCAAATACTAGATGGGATTATCACTTATAACGACTCGCCGACACCTACAGCGGTATCAGCGGTGATCATTCTCGGTGAGTACACCAGGTGGCAGCACCTATGAGCTAGGTGGCAGCACCAGCGTATTTCCCCACAGGATGACAGCAGGTGTAGCACCTTGCAGTTGCAGGACGATGAACAGATAGTATAGACCATTTGACGTAACAATATGTCCCCAATTTTGCACCTGAGTGCTTGGTCGTTGGCTTCTTGCTACCCATAACTTAGAAAGGTGAGCGGAATGCAAATAAATATAGGTATCTCACGCTCACTATTTAGCGGCATGGACTTGCAGGTCATATTATCCCGAAGTGCAGATATCCTAGCGTGCCAATCCAGTGACGTAATACTGCTCCATTTCTTGGTAGCATCCAACATGAGAGTGCTTATGTGAAACATCTCTATGAATGGAGACAAATGGTCCGAAATTACTTGGATAGGTTTGGTTATGTTATACCTTTTCAGGGTGATCCTCATTTCAGACTGGATGTCATTGTAGGCAAGGTGCTGAAACATACACCATAGCAGAATTTAGTCCAGTCCAAACTACTAGACGTATAATGACGTCATACATACTCCGCCCGGCAGGCTTGTTCACCCTTGGATTGGAAGGATCCGAGAATATGACGGACAAATGGGGCGACAGTCGGCCGGGCTTCATCACCAACTGGGAGCTGGTGAAGCTGCGCTCCCTCAGCACCGGGTGGACACGGTGGGGTCGAACATAATGCCGGCTTGTTCTTACTATGCTGCTTTTGCTTATATGTTTTCTGTATCATATATGATGAGAAACAATTACGTAATAGTTCGGTGAAAATCATTCAAATGATGTGAGCAATTGTAGAGATTGTGTGACTTAGGGAATAAAACTATGGATAAGATGCACAGTTAGATGATCGTCAATGTTGCTTTATCCAGTCCCGGCTTGTCGAAATATATCAGCAACCTAATTATGGTACATACCGAGTTTATAGAATAGGTACACTTTTCCAAGGCGTTGGTATAAGACATTGCTATACAATCCGCTAGGACAGACTGATCTAACAAATTGTCAGAGTACCCTGCTCTACGGAATCGTTAGAATGAACGCACCATATGTCCTTTACCTTTCGAACGACGCCTGTGAAAACTGAAGAGTTATTAGTGCGCTCAGTGTCTCGTATCGATACACGGTGCGGCGGTGTCAACAAACCCGACCGAGGGAGGACTGCCAAGTTTGAGGGCCACCGAACCACCTGACCTGGGGATGGGTGACGATAGCGGGGGGAAGGGGGCGTGGCGAGTTTAGCCGGCGGTTCACCGCCCCTCACATTTACCGGGTATCGGTACTTTTGTGAGAGACTGTACATTCACATGGTTTGTGCTGTGGAAATTTGCTGTTTGGTGTAAATTTGATAAAAACTGGTTGACGTGAGAAACAAATGTAATGAAACTGTTTGACGTGAGAAACAAGTGTAATTAATTGCTAAGTGCCGATGTTATGTACGGCTTTAGGGATAAGGGATAGGTAAGTGGCTTTTTCCCACATTGTCTACAAATGTGTGAATGATGTATGAGCGCGAAAGTATGCAAACGAGACATACTTTTAGGACAGCTGTATCGGAGAAAGGCAAATGAGCTACGCGTTTTTTTTTTTTTTGTTTTTTTTTGCTTTCTTACATGACAAGAGTTCTATACTTCACTCACATGAGAATGCTTTTGCTGCTTGTGATTGCTCGCAATAAATGCATGCAAGTTATATCGTTTTTCTATATTTTTCCATACTTTCTTTTGCTACTTAACCCGCGCCGGGGGGGGGGGGGACAGAATCTTCCCATTACCATTTTTCGGCAATATATATTAACACATGGTTTCCCGTGTGTAAATGGTTTTAACGCACGACGTGGGTGGATTGGAGCACGAGTGCGTTAATGCACGAGTGAAACGAGTGCATTAACGCACAAGTGCTCCATTTCATCCACGAGTGCGTTAAAACCATTTATGCACGGAAACCATGTGTTAAACTAATTAATACATGCTTAATGGTGCGAATTTAAATTAAAATTAAACTTAGTCCATGACACTAAATGGGCCTTTATGGAAATTCTTAGAGAAAGTCAATGACCCTTCCGTAAAACTTTAGTCGAGAAAATCATCACTGCACGCGCGTGCACCAATTTAAATTGGTGCACGGCTACCTTCGAATTAACGCACGGTTAATCTTTAGTGAACGCACCGTAAAGTATGTATTAATATCCATTATCCAGTAGGTTAAAGGAAATAGTTCACTTTTTAACATGGGTTTTGAACTGGAATAGCAGTTCCGTAGCTTGGGCTGAGACGAGCATAAATCAGGAGCTTTTACAGCCCAACGATCACCCTAGGCAAAGATATTCTATTTCTCGTCCCGAAAAAGGTGTCTTGCGTTGAGGATGTGTGCCTTGCATATATTTGCATCCAGTATGAAAAGAGCATGGGTCCCGAAAATTCTTCAGAAACTAGAGAAATTATCTACGAGAACTCTAGAGAAATTCTCCTACTGATCAATAAGGACATTCAGGGGAACATTATCGCCCTTGCCAGTAAAACTAGTAAAAGGGCTAACTTTGCATGGTTCTTTTCTTTAATACGGAGAGACGGATGGACGGACGAATGGAGAAACGGACGGATGGATGGACGGACTGAGAGACGGAAGGGCGGACGGACGGACGGAGAGACGGACAAAGAGATGAACAGACGGACGGGTAGAGAGAGAGAGAGAGAGAGAGAGAGAGAGAGAGAGAGAGAGAGAGAGAGAGAGAGAGAGAGAGAGAGAGAGAGAGAGACTGAGAGAGAAAGAGAGACTGAGAGGGAAAGAGAGACTGAGAGAGAAAGGGAGACTGAGAGAAAAAGAGAGACTGAGAGAGAAAGAGAGACTGAGAGAGAAAGAGAGACTGAGAGAGAAGGAGAGACTGAGAGAGAAAGAGAGACTGAGAGAGAAAGAGAGACTGAGAGAGAAAGAGAGACTGAGAGAGAAAGAGAGACTGAGAGAGAAAGAGAGACTGAGAGAGAAAGAGAGACTGAGAGAGAAAGAAAGACTGAGAGAGAAAGAGAGACTGAGAGAGAAAGGACTGAGAGAGAGAGGGGGTGGTGAGAGAAAGGAGGATAAGTATGAAGGAGAAGACTAGCAGAGACTTCAGGGAGGACGGCAAGGAGACTGATACCTACAGAGAGGAACAGTAGCGGCGGAACACCTTCAATTAAGGGGGGGGGGGCACTGCCAACTTTTGGTCCCATTCTTTCCATGCAACGCCCATAGGGCTAATGTTAAAATGCCAAAATCAAAGGGGGGACGGTGCCCCGGTGCCCTCCCCGTTCCGCCGCCTATGGAGAGGAAAGATGAGTAAGCAAGGGATTTGAGAGATAGGTAAAGAGACAGGGGAGAAATGAGATTTTATTGCTCCGCTCCTAATAACACTTCCTAAAATAAAATATAATTGGCCGTAATTATCGAATAAGAATCGGAAATTGTCATTTGAACGTCTGATTCGCTTACATCAATCGACAATCCGCCCTATACCATGTTTTACATGTTTGCAGTTTGCACCAAAGCCAGCTTGCAGGCTATAGCCTATACATTGAGGCAGTGGTATATACTATACATCCCGGTGAATTCCTGTATATAGCCGAGACCTCCGGCGGTATTTTCCCACGATCAGCCGAATTTCAAAGTCGTGTATTTTTCGTCCATGGCAGGCGGCCGGCGCAATCTCGGGGAAAGAGGCGCTCCAATAACAAAAGCACGAGCAGATCGCCCAAATGCCGGTGGCCGCGATAATTTATCTAGTTTCTGAAGAATTTTCCGGACATTCCGGACCCATGCTCTTTTCATACTGGATCGCGTGTGCCTTACAGAAACTGAAAAGTTCTTCCTGTATCAAAATATAGAAAATAATCTTTTGTTATAAAAAGGTTTTATTTTCTTTGCTGATCATTTTGAACATACAAAATAATAAATCCATTGCAAAAAAAATAACTTCGTGAAAGTGAACTATTTCCTTTAACCCTATTAGTGGCAGGGGGGGTTGTTTTTATCCACCCATCAGGTTTTTCGGGAATATCTCCGAAACCGCTGAAGCTACGATGCTGAAATTTTCTGACTTTTCCTAAAACTAAATTGGGCACATTCCCTGAAAATTTCAAGTTCATACCCTTACCAGGGGCGGCTCCAGAGCACTGGGAATCGGGGGGTCCTATTCGTGAAGCGAGTCATTTGCACTGTAAAAAAAGTTAAGCACCATAGAGGTACTTTTCAGTTGACTAATTTTCAGTACCCTAGCGGTGCTAAGCTAAGCATTTTATTCGTACTTAACTGAGATCTAGTTTAGTATCAAGGTGCTAATATAAGTACCCATATTTGTTTAGCACCCGTGTACTAAATGTAGTACCCTACACCTGCTAGACCAATTTTCAGTACCCTAGAGGTGCTAAACTTTAAAAGGTGCTAAGAATAGCATGCAGTTAGTACCTTCCGTACTCACATATGAACCGTTTTAGCGCTATTGTTACCCCACGACAAGTAGAATAATGCTAACGAAAGCATTGGGGCTGAAAGTAAAATAGTTAAAGCTGCTGCATGAAAAGTTCGCAAAAACTGCTTTCTTTAACAGCACATACTTTCACTAGTTACTGCAAAAAGGACTAATCAATTACCAAAAAGGAGATTGTGTAAGGCCGAAAAGACGTGCAAAAAAGGTTATATCCTAGATAAGTGATAACTACAAGTCTCAATGATTGTGTTTTGCATTCTGCAATATTCCCGTGTAAGTGCATCTTTCAAGCATCCAACACATTATAAAATTAAAAATAATAATGGAACATTTATTAACACTTCATATCATCTGCATGAAAAACAAATGTAAATATATACACAAACAAACGCACGGGAAATGACGAAAGGTCGCTCATATACCTGCACACTCGCAGTGACCGACGATTAACGCGAGATCGACTGGGGGATGCGGGGGGGGGTCGTTGAACCGACGTTCCGTTCATGGCCATAAGTTCGACCTCATCCACGACCAGACGGCGTTTAGTGATAGACGGAACCGGAGACCCCGTGTTGTTGTCGTAGTTGTCCTCCATTGTAAGTGGTAGTCGACGGAAGAACTGACCAGGCCCCATGCCTGGAGCAAAAAAAAAAACTGGATCAGTTCCAAGATTTTTTTTCTGTTGGGAGCTATTTTCGCAAACAACACAACTTTCCTTCAGACCAAAAAGCGCGATTTGCCAAAGTCGGAATATGAAGCACTTAAACAATATAAGATAATGTCAAAAGATACAACGTGTCAGACTCACCAAAGTCGATCAACGTCGGTGTTGGTGGCATGTGTCGGTGGCAAATGCTCATGTACCATCCGGCCCCGGAGCACTTCACTTCACTTCACTGCACTGCTGCACTGCACTTCCCTCCACCTCACTGCCTCCCGGAGCAGGGGCACGCACGTCGCACTCCCATGCCACGCATGACGGATTCCACCGATAATAGCTGATTTAAGCTATCATTCCAGAGCTATCACTCGGTGGCATGTGCCCGGAGCACTTCACTTCACTTCATTTCACTTCATATACCGGAGCACGTGCACACACTCCCGCCACGACCAACGGACTCCACTAAAATGGCGCAACACGTGGCCGGAAACAGCTGGCACGCGCATGCGCATATCGCTCTGCGCCGTCAAAACGTGCTAAAGGGCTAGTGATAAGACTCCCAGAGATTTGTAAAGCAGGGCTTTGCTACTTTCTTTGGCGCCAATTTCAAATTTGTTTCCTCTGTAAGCATGTCCGGTTCTATTGCGATGCTAACGTAAGCACCATATTCAGCATTACCAACTTCTAAAACACTTAAAAGGGGTGAAGATCACGATGCTGATGTATTATAACTGTATACACCAGTTTTACGAACATTGAATGAAAGGTATCATGTGATAACATATACAAAGTTGTTGTGCATCCTCTTTTGACACGTTTTTGCTATAATAGGCAGATCCAGGCGTCCAAAAAGGGGGGTTATGTTTTACCTCCCAACATAGGTGCCCTGACACCGCCAGTAAGCATGACCAATACAATTGTAGTCGTTTTGTCATAAGAAAATTGTAACATAACAAGACCATTACCACCCTTTTAGAAACAGTACCAACAAAAAACCTTATTTACTATACTTTTTGTGTACCCCCAATCTCAATGATCTGTATCCGCCTATGATTTTTGAAAATGCATATTTTTAGGATCCATGCGAATTCCTGGTTCATTCTCTATCGATCGGCAAAAGTTGCGTTGAGATTGGTTCTGAAACCTGGCCGTGATAAACAGTCTAAAATGTATCTGCAATTTGCCCGTTTTCACCCCCCTCTACCCCCCCCCCTATTGACATTTTTTAATTTTATTTTTTAGAAATGTAGATCACGTTGAGCGAAATCGAATGCCGTTTGAATTTTGAAAATCGGCCCGTTAGATCTCGAGATATCAAGGGGGGGGGGGGGGGGGGGGTCGTAAACAGTCCCCCCTGCCACTAATAGGGGTAGTCAGGAGCCTGCCACTAATAGGGTTAACGGTCGATAACGGCAGATAACAATGTTGGATACTAGATAGCGATACTTTCCTAACGAAAATAAAACTTCGCGAAAAAACGAGCATGTTGCATGTGTCGAGAGGAGGCCGATTCTACGCAGATTTGTCCATGACCTAGTTCATTGGTTGATCTTCCAGGTCAAGTCAATG